GGAATCTACTTTATACAATTTTTCATGGAAGAAATAATAAATGTCATGAGATATTTAATGCTTTATAAATAAAGATTTTGATTATTCACATTTTTGGAACCAATGATATATTTCCGTAAAAATACAGTCCGGGAATATACAATCCGGCTCTTCACTTTCCGCGATTATACGTTCCGTCATTCTACGGTCTGTTATTTGTCTTTCCGTCAATGTACGGTCCGGCATTGTACTTTCCGTCGTTCTACGGTCCGTAAATATTAGTTCAGAAATATTACTTTCCGTTATTATACATTCCGGTAATATTTTTTCCGTACTTATATAGCCCCCCGTCCCAACAATGAGGGTGAATATTTACACGTTCAATACAGTGGACATGTACTCATGTTTTTATTTATTATTTATTTATATAAATAATATAAACAGAGTTATTAAAAATTATTTTCTTGTTATTATTATTAACATGAAATAAAGAAAATTAAAATATAGAACTCTATTAAATGTTTTTCAAGCATATAATTATATATATTAATGCAATAAACCTAATAAACGTCAAATATACATTATAATGACTAATATGTCTAATAGATAATTATTAGTTGGTGATACTTTTAAAAATTGTGGATATTTAAAATTTTTGGGCATCTACTTTGATTGTCTTGGTCTGAGTAATGTATTTTGTTTATTAATAAAATATAAAATAATTTTTAGATTTGATACAATGATTCAAAAAAGTATTCCTAGAGGTATTTGAAAAAGTATTCTAAGTATGCTGTTAATTATTCAAAAAACTTTCATCTAAAGACTTGTACACATTCATTTTAATACCAATTCTGAAAATTAAAATAATATTTTTATTAGCAAAGTTTTTATTTTTATTAATATAGTGAAGTGGGGGTAGTTGTAAACGATTAGCGTAATTGCATTTTTTTAGATAAATTTACAAGTTTTTATTTCGAATTAATTTAATACGATAGAAACATAAATAAGGACCATAATTTTTCAATCTAAAATAAAATCGGCTAAATATTTTAAGAAGTAAAAAGGAAATTACAATTATCCTATTTGTTTACATTTACTTAACTTCACCCTTATCGTTACTAAAAATATTACTTTTCAAATTCATTAGCTGATTCTTCAACTTTTGTAGGAGGACAGACCATTGCAGTTATGGTAGATTGTGGATTAAATAATGGCTTCACATACTTTCTGCCAATTTCAGGAAGATCTTCAAGTTTTACTAATGATATTTTTTTAATAAGGTCCCTAAAAAAAATAAATACAGCTTTTTTAAATCTTCTTCTTCTTCTTCGCCCTTATCCCAACTACTTGGGGTCGGCCACCCTTTTTTAAACTTTTACTTGACACGTGTGAAAATTAGCCCCTTAATATTGAAGGAGGATTGCCTGTTACTGTGCGGTGGTGTTGTTTATTTGTAGAAAACAAAATACGGAAAATATGAGGGGTAAGAAAATAGGTACATCTACTTATGTTTGTACAAAATACGAATCCATATATTACAGTTCTTCTTAATATTAATATAAAACTATTATTTCAATATCCGACTGTTATTTAAAATTTTCATTCATACATTATCAAATATACTTCAGTTGTTCTATAGTTAAGTAATTTTAATAAATTAAAATAAATGGAAAGGGGGGGGGGTAACTTACATACTAGAATTACCGACAAAGCGGCTATGAACAAAATAGAAAATATATAAAATAAATAAAACAAACAATTAAAAGCTTAGCTGTATAATTTAAGATGATGATTAATGGCGGTGAGTGTGGACTGTATGTGAGCGTTGAAATGATGACGTGAACGATGCCACTAGTCCGTAATATGCGAGAAATATCGTTTCACACGGATATAAAGGTACAAAGCATGTACACAAATGACCTCGTAGGTCCAGAGTTTACAAGTTCGTCACAGACGCAACCGAATGAGCAAAACAATAAAAATATGGCGAGCTATGGCCGATCAATAGCACAAACACACGGAGGCGTTTGCTGCATATACGAGACAAGAAAAAACACTATGTATTTGTTGAGGAACGACTATCAAATCTTAGAGGCGCGAAACGAGTGTACTGTATACGTTCAAAAAAGGTTATGATGCTCGGCTGAGGAAGGAACGACGGCCGGACGTGGCATGAACACGTTCGAACCTGTCATACACGAGTGCCACACTTTACCCAACAACACGATCTCCCACATCATCTACGCTCACATCAGCTGTACTCATATCGCATTCAATAGCATCCCTCCATCTCTTTTTGGTCTTCCTCTACCTCATCTTCCTTCAACATTAATTTCTATAACTGTTCTTACAGCTTCCGATTCTTCTCTCATCATAACATGACCAAACCATCTAAGTCTATTTTCTCTCATCTTATCCACGATTGTCGCTACACCTATACTCCCTCCTATATGCTCGTTCCTTATCATATCTTCTCTAGTCACTCCACTCATCCATCTAAGCATTCTCATCTCTGCTACACTCATTCTCTACTCTACTTTCAACCACCCAATACTATGATCCATACATCATTAATGGTCTCACTACAGTCTTATAGACTTACCTATCAGCATCATTACAATTCTCTTATCGCATAAGACACCAGATGCTTCGCTTCACTTCAACCACCCCCGTTCAATTTTGTGTCTTACAAAATAGGTAGTATTGCCTCATCAATACTACCGCTCTTTTGTCCAACTCATCCTAAATACTTAAAACTTTCCACGTCTCCTATCACATGCTTAATTATTGTCACTGAAATCTTCATTTCACCTACCTCGTGTTCTCCTTTATCAAACTCGTACTCTATATATTTTGTCTTATTCCTGCTTATTCTTAAACCCATTTCTTCAAGAGCTGATCTCCACACCTCTATCCTTTAATTAATTTCCTCCCTATTTTCTCTTATTAACACTATATTGTCAGCAAACAACATGCACCACGGCACCTCTCCTTGTATTTCTCTAATAATTTCTCCCATCACTATAAAAAATGAGTAAAGGCTTAAACCAAAACCTCAGTGCACTCTTACTCTTACCCGAAAACCTTCTGTTACTCCTCCTACGCTTTTCACCCTAGTACAAATGTCATCATACATATCTTCTTTTATATTAATGTACCTTTTCGGGATTCCTTCTCTTATTAATGCCCACTTTAAAAACTATTTCAGTACTTTATCATAAGCTTTCACCAAATCAATAAATACCATAGACAGCTATTTTTTCTTTTCCCTAAACTTTTCTATTATATGCCACACACAAAATATTAGCTACATTGTTGACTTACCAGGCATAAATCCAAACTGGTTTTTTAGATACCGATGTCTCATTTCTTATTCTCTTATCTATTTATAGAGGCTTTAGGCATCTATAATTTCCACACTCCTGTATATCACCTTTACATTTAAATATCCTATTATAATTTTCCTTCTAATAAGATTTTATTTAAAAATGCCATCAACCATTTTATCCCGATATCGCCTAATATTATCCATACTTCTACTGACACATATAGTTTTTTTCTTCATATTTCATTAAAAAAAGTAGTAAATTACTGGTTATAAGATTGTTTTAAATTTCGGAAGTACAACAAAATTGGTCCAGTAGTTGATTTATTAACTTTACAATCTTTATTAACCATTTCAAATGTAAGACAACCTTTTGCTGATTCGAAAACTGTTTGATCCCAAGAAAATCCACTGGATAAATGTTCATCCTAAAATCAAACAAACATTTATTAATAAAAAATGTATGCTATATAAAATAATTTATGACAAAAAAACAATACTAAAAAATCTCGTATACGTACTTCGGAAACGATGTAATAAATACGCCATTTCTTACCTTTTTTTGTAGCATTTTTTTAAAAATATTTTTTAAAGTAAATTAATATTTTAAATATATTTAATTTAAGATTAGCATAAAGTGATTAAATTGTATCGTATAATTATTGAAAATTAAAGTTTTTATATTAAAATTTTTGTAGAGAAATTATATCATAAAATATATTATAAATTCATAACATGATAATTTTTTATTAATTTAAAAAGAGGTATAAAATATTAATTTTTTCAAATTGTACAAACTAGTATTGATTTAGTAGCTTGATAAGCAGCTGGTACATCTACAGAATTTTGTAAAATTAAGTAAATTTTTCCGTGATCTGGCTCTATAACAATACCACAGCAATATGCAAGACCTGATCCATAAACTTTCTTCCACATAGGTCCCTGTTAAAAACAAAAATTACATTAATTAAATGAGTGACAAATGCAAGTTTTGAATGTACATCACCGTTAATTATTTATATACTATTGCACTTATTAAAAATTCGTTTTTATTTTTGATGATTGCCTATGATATTTCATTTAAATTCGCAATTTAATTTTCTTTTTAACATATTAAGATTACAATATGTATAGTAAATTTTGAAATGAGGAAAATAAGTACATTATAATTGAAAAAATTTTTTTTTATTGATCCAAAAGTTGATATCAACTACCAGACATTTTCATAGTTTAAAACATATAATTACAATAACTCCAAATTGATTGGTTGATGTTCGCCATTTAATAAACTATTATAAGTAATTAAACTATTAATATTTTTGTTCCTACTGAAATATTTATGATTAAAAACTTTTTAATCTATTTAAGTGTGGTCAGCCTAATCTAATAGGTAAAAAAGTATGTATCGATCCTGGGTTTGATCCCAGGACCCTGTCTTTCATTGGTCTAGCCAAGAACTGTTTTTGATTCTCTAACATGTAAAAGGTGGCCATCATCACCCTCAGTAGCATTTTAAGTTCGGGAATCATTTGATTTTTTATTTTTCATATGGTAAACGGTAAATAATTTTATACTGTAATGCGACCGCACTGTTCTACTATTTTTTTTCTATTGCATGTTTAAAACTATATTAGTTACGTTCAAACACTTATTATTTTCTTTACATTACTTGATTTAGAATTGAAATTATAGGTACACGCTAATTAAGAATAATAAACTTCTCAATTTTTGCATTTAGAATGTTTAAAATTATCTCATTCTTTAAATACATCATAATATTACATAATAAAAATGAATAATTTTGGACATTTTAATTTGGGATAAAAATATTAAATCACCTTTTTCTCAATTGCAAAAAATCATATAGTAAAAAATAAATTCTAATAATAATGATTACTTACTTCCATCTGAGTAAAGTATGCCAAAAATACATGAATAGCAGCGATGTCTGGATGGTTATGATCGTTTATACAATCTGTAGCTTGGATGAAATTACTTGTTTCAATAGAACCCATTCCAACAATACAAGCTCGAATTGTACATTGGTTTTGAGGTAATATATAATCAGAATCAAACTGTGTTTTAAATCTAAAAACTAAAATTATAATTAAAAATAATATTAATACTATAACTCAATTTTTATTACGGTTGTACTGATCCCTTTAAATTATCTGGAATAATTTTTTGTAATGCAGCAAAAGCTTCAGGGTTAATGTCAAATAATTTATCTATATTACCAGTTATGTGTACTTTAATATTATCTGGATTAGCTAAAAATAATTTTAATTTATTTAAATCTTCATTTACAACTTTCCAACCTTCTTCAGATTCGATTGTTTTTTGCAAGCTAGTTAAAAATTTATATTGTTTTAAAGTACTACATGCGTAAGCGTTGTTATCTGTTTAAAAAAAATGAAATTAGTTTAATTTTAACAAGAAAATTATGAACTGAGAATTAAAATAATATAGGAAAAAATGACGGAAAACATATTTCTAAAAAGTAAAAAAACAAACCGTCACAAACCATCGATTAAAAGTGTTATGAATATTTCGGCGCCACGTTTAAAACTACAATTATTTAAAAAATCAAATTTTCCAGTATAATGATTAAAAAAAGAGTTTATGTTTCCTCTGGTGTAAATTTAAATTTTAACTAAGTACGTTTGGAAAATAATTTAGCTAGATTAAATTGATTTAAAAATTTCTAATAATACTCAGGAAGCAAATTTTTAGTAATAATACAGTAATGTTGTTATAACGTTATTTTAACTTATAATATTATATTAATTTTATAAGAATGTTTCTATAACATTATTTTTCAAAATTGCTGTTTGGGCAAAAAGCTTAGGAGTTGAGTACTGAAGAGAAGCAAACTAAGATAGAGATAGGTGTCGAAGTGTAGTAATGGCGGCAAAAATTTGAGCGTAGACATATGAGAAGAAGAAGAAGAAATGTTAATGATTAAACTACAACTTAAAGATCAAAACTCAAAACCCAACCCCTTGTGTAGTCAGACCCGAAGGTCCCACCCTTGTCAAACCACTCTTAGATGCAAAAAAAAGGGATACAGTGGTATATTTCGTTGGTCCAATATGGATAAGGACCAACGAAAAAAGAGAGCGGAGAATTTCATAAACAAACATAAAAAAAATACACACATTATCACAAAAACAATATCTTTTCAACTTCTCATTGAAGCTAAAAAAAATATAATATTTGAAGTATCTTATACTTAATATACTATAATATAATAATATATAATTATATAAAATATTTTAAACGGCTGTATCATATACCCCGAATGGATGATCGACAAGTGACACCCATACTACTCACAATATATATTTTTTTATATATTTCATGTATTTACGACACTTTTATTACTTTCGTTTTTATATTATAGTTATATAAAAGATTATTATATTTTTCTAATCTATTTCAATAGTTACCTTGTCTGTACATCATATTTATTAAAATTTGTTTTAACATATAGTGTCCATCCCTACGATAACTAGGAACTTCATTTATAACTCTTGATAACATAATAGAAAACATTTCTTTAGTAATGAATGTATTACAAAGTAAATCATGAAGCCTATTAATGCCTGTATCATAATTTTCTAGTTTGATCTATTTAGTTAAAATATTCAATATGACTATAATGTTTCAATTATTAATTATTTTTAATTTAAATATAAAAATAAATTAACAATTAATATATATTATAACAAAATGATAATAATTTTTTGATTATGTTTATTAAAATAAAAACATTGATATAAACAATCAAAAATTGAATTGAGGTAAATAATTTCCTTAATTTGCTAAATTAAGTATTAATTTTACTATACTAAGTATAATAAAATAAAAACGATAGCACAGTATGGACGTGGCATAATTATGACAAGTATAGATGATATTTGACAGTGATTAAAATCACTATCATAAGAAACGCTACGATGCAAATCTGTAGATAGTGTTTAGTTTTAAGAATTTGGTGGATTATTAAAAAAGGAACAGGAACTCTTGTTTTCTTAATTATATTCTGATTAGTAATTCTTTGGTTTAAAAGTATATAATTGAATACTAAAATCACTATCAAAAAAAAAAAAACGCTTCGATGCAAATCTTTAGATAGTGTTTAATTTTAAAAATTGGTGGATTATTCTAAAAGTTATATGATCTGCTAGTTCCTTATTAATATCCTGATTAGATAAAGTATGTCGAATGAAAAAAGGATTATTAAAAAATATTATTTCTCATAAAAAAATTGTATTGATCCATACATTTTTCAAAGATTTATAATGTTATAAAGTTAAAAATATGAAAATGAATTTTTTTTTACAAAAATCGTATTTTTTTATTAACTTTGATGACTGTTTTCACCATGAAAACGAAATAAAGTCCGAATTTTTTTTTTAATATTAAAGTATATTACATAAGCTTTAATTTAAGATATATATAAAAGTGTCAGTATTTTTGGAATACTTTCAAAAATTAAGTTGAAAAAGTTCAACTTTCTATATGCATTTTTATGTTTTAAACCCCCCCTGTATTAAAGGAAATGGTCCGATTTAAAAAAAAGTATGTCGAATGAAAGAAGTATATAAAAATTATTTCTCATAAAAAAATTGTGTTGATCCATACACTTTTCAGAAAGTTATAACATTATAAAGTTAAAAATATAAAAAAAAAATCAAGAATTTTCACCCAATAATAGCATTTGGTAGCCATTTTCACCATGAAGACAAAATAAAATCCAACATTTTTTTTTTCCATAATAAAGTAAATTACACTAGCTTTAATTTAAGATATATATAAAAGTGTCAGACTTTCCGGAACACTTTCAAAATTTAAGATGAAAAAGTAAATTTTTTGTGAAAAAGTTGTACTTTTGAATCCCCTCCTGTATGCAAGTAATAAGTCAGATTTATAAAAAAAATATACCAAATGATAGTTAAAGACATCATGCATCCATAAAAAAAAGAATTATATTGATTTGGTCATTTTTAAAAAAGTTATGGTAATTTAAAGTAAAAAAAAATTGAATAAATTTTGAAAATTAGCGATTTTTAAATTTGTAATTTTTTTGGAGGTTTCCCCATTTACAGGGAACAAGGGAAATTTTTTCAATTTTTGAGGGTAATGTCTTCGACTAGATACAATTTGTGATCTTTTGACGTATCTTTGAAAGAAATTGGTTCGGTGAAAACTGAGAAAAAGTGGTAACAGTCACAAAAAAAAAAACACATCATAGTAAAATTAATACCTCTTCAGCATCCCATCGAAGCTAATATTAAAATAAAATAGTAAAATATAAATATTATGATAAATAAGTAGAAGATTTGTTTTTTTATTTTAATTAATAAAAAGTAAATACTCCCTGACATTGTGACGTACTTAAAGTGTTAAAATAAAATAGTAAAATATATACGTTATCATGAATAAATAGAAAATCAATTATTTTTTTTTTTAATTAAAAAAATGTAAACTCTTCCTGTCATTAGAACATACTTTAAGTGTTAAAAGTATAACCGAGGTAAAATATCCAAATGAAAAATATCTTGAACCAATCCCAATAGATGCTTTTGTTAAAAGAATATCTTTTCTCAATTCTGTATAATCTAATTGTATACCATTACGTATTACAGAACTTTCCGTTATTAAATCAAGATAAATGAGTAAGTATTTTCTAAGATTCAATGCCAAATCTTTAGTGTTGATGAATGCTCTCAGCTGAAAGGAATTATTTTAGAATATCATAATTAGTAGGACTTACAATTACTTAAAATAACTCATAATTTTTTTTACTTACATAAATAAAATTACTTTTAATATTGTTAATTTCAACAAACAATGGGACTTCGGAAGTTTTGAATAAATTATGTTGATTTATTGAATTTGATGAAAAAGTATCATAAGTTAAACAATTTATCAGAGTGACATCAGGAATTTTGACTGAAGTATACATTTCGCTGGGAGGTTTTTTCTGAAATAAAATCACTGTTTTCGCAAAAAACTGAATAATTTCATTAATCTCAGTAAATTGTTCAAACGTTTTTTTAATATATAAAATATGGTAAGTGACTTAAATCATCATCGCCATCTTTATAAGATCTATCCCAACTGTTTGGAATCGGCCCTACCTTACAATGATCTGACAAATTAATTATTTTACACGAATATAATTCATTGCAAAATTAATACTATTGAATCATAATTTATAATTATTATTTAATTATTTTTATATTACTTCATATTCTGTTTTAGCACTCAGTAGTTCAATGGCTTTTAATTTTAAACCATCTTCTCCTAAATTTTTTTTGCGTTGTGATACTCTTTGAATTTCTTCATTAGCTAGCTCATGTTGTTTTTTAATAGATGGAATTCCTCTTACAACTACTTTATAATTGTTTAATAAATAATCATTCAAAATCAGTTTCCAAAACGAGATATCTTCTTCGAGAAGTTTATCCAAAATATTAATTGTATTCAATCTTTCGTCTAACTAAATGTATGCAGGAATAATAAATACTATTTTTATAATGTGCCTTTAACATTATTTAATTTTACTTACATCTGATTGACTCGTTCCATACAAAAAATCACCAATAATTAAGTTTGATAAAGTAAAAGTAGGATCATTATTTAGATTTTTTAGTTTAGATAGCTTACGTCTTTTAATAGATTTTTTCAGTGTTTTTAGGTTAAAATAATCATTATCACAATTAAGCTTATTAAATACTTCATTTAATTTTGATGATATTTGTTCTTCGTCTAATTTTTGAAATGGTACATTATAAAATTCAAGAATTATAAATGGATTTAAATTATCGCTAATACGGAAAGACACCTTAAAATAAACGAATAATAGATCTTTTAGAACAATTAATTGAACAAAATAAAAATTTGTATCATTTTTACCGTGCTACATAATGGGTCAGATATTTGAACAAACTCTAACAAAATATGAAAACGAGTTAAATAATTTAAAAGTGAATCACAAGCCTTATACCTATAAAAAAAGGTATAAATTATAATTAATAAAATGAAAAGATGAGCAAGTAAATAGAAATAATTAACTCAAGTTAAATTAAGTTAAGTATGATCAATGTCGATAAATTAACAGTTAAAAGTTAACAAATTATAAATTTAACTAGCTATGTTAAAAGATAAGTTAACATTTTTTTTAATTTGACTAGTTAAAAAAAAAGGTATAAATTATAATTAATAAAATATATAGTTTTATTTTATTCAAACATTTAGTTGTTTCTATTGTTTATATGGTTCTTTAATTATAATTGTTTGATTTATTAATCTTTATAATATTAACATCTTTAAGACATAAAAAACTTGCTATTTTAAAATTAAAAAAAAATTTTATTATTAAAAAGAAATAATAAAATATAGTCTTTTAATAATATTTTAGATTACATAAATTATTTTAAAAAAGGGAACTCAAAATATTTAGTAGATCATAAGTTATTAGATTTGTTGAATCATAAAAAAATATTGTTATAAATAATGATTATTATCATAAATATACGTAGTATTTATGATGTCCGTATTTGTCCGAAAAAGTAGATGACCATAAATAACACTTAAATCATCATATACCATCATGGATTTTCCTATGTCTCATCAAACAGTTTTTGCAACGTACACTTTTTCACACTTGTCACAAGAAAACATTTTTAAGATGTTTAACACTATTAATTTTACTCGAGTAACAATCCATCTTTTATGCGAAAATACTCATTATATGTAACAAAATCATAAACTCAGAGAATCGCAAAACATATATCCCCGTATAATAACCCCCATTCTTTCACGACTTAATCATTTTTATCTCATAATTAATTACAATTTAATAAGTAATTTCTACTAATTTTTTTATAGTATAGCCACCCTTCCTATGTACCCCCACATGTAGATTAACCCCCATACTTGTAATATCAATTGTCATGTGAGAGAGAGAAGAGCCCCCTATATTATATTCTTAACCTTTCATGGGAAGGGGGTCATATGCCTTTACCATATCTCCCCCGGCCGTTTACACCTCCCGTCTACCTAGGGAGAGGAAACGCCAGGGCCGTTGTGGGAGGTATCCAGCTACTTATATCTACAAATCTCAAAATCAAGAGCTGATTCGCAACTTGGTGTGGCCCCCTTCCGTTAACCGGATCTCAGAGTGGGAAATGTTAGGGAGGTTTGGCAAAATAACTCACAAACAAAAACAAAACACAAAAGTAAGAACAAGGACGATCCGAACAGTGGTCGCACGTTGGAGTGGCTGCTTTACGAATACGGTGTAAATATTTGTTAAAGCAGCTGTGGCCAGACATCACTGGGGTGAGACGATATATCATCTCACCATGAGTCCTGTCCAACTGATCGTGCCCTATGAGGGACCTGGTCCACTCGTCTCTCGTTGTTTCCTCAGAGAGGCGAGTCCACCACTGGAGCATGGTCATCCGCCTGAGCGCCAGACGGTCCTCGGGTTCGAGGGACCGGCCGCATTCTCGGCGGAGCCAATGTCGGTGGCGCGTTCTTGGGCGAGCAGATCGGAAGGTGGTAATGACGACAGGATACCCGCCGCTACTCCGGACAACGTTCGGTACGCCGAAACTGTCCGGATCGCTGCCCGCCTCTTGTCGGCCACCTCCTGGATGTTGAATTCCACAGCCGACCGTCGTCCCAGAACGCCAGGGGAGCAGGGGCGGATTTGTCGGAAAGAGCGTGTCCACCACCCTTTCCAGCACGTCCGCCTCCAGCTGACCCGAAGCCGATGGACTGCGGAGCTTCCATATTACGACCCGATAGGGTATCCCCCACGGGTCGTGGTCCACCGACTTCATGAGTTCGGCCCGTCAGGGTAGAACCCCTGTTGGCCGACACCAGCCCGAGGGCCGACATCAGGTCCAACAGGTTCTCGCCGCGATGGTTCATGTCCGCCAATTCACAGACCAGGGACTCAACGTTGAAATCCCCGGCCACGAGCTCCCCGCGGCTGTCGTGCGGCCGCGGTCTATCACGCCGATCGCCGCTCTACTAGACCGGTACAAAAACCAACCGGCAGAGTCCCGGACCAATCTGGCGTAAGGGTCTGAGATGATTCACACGTTGGTGCCCATCTCGTATGCCGTCTGACGGATCAGGTCCTAGGTAGCCCGACAGTGGTTAAGATTCGTTTGAAGGAATCTCATCCACTAGTGGGCTGCGCTTCAGGAAACCCCTTGGCCTTTCTTCCTGACTTCTTTCCTGGAGGTACCTTTTCACTAGGCCCCAATTTTGTCTTTCGGCTCTTCAAGGCAGGCCCCGCACACGGACAATCTTTGGCCTGGACCTATCCTTTTTACAGGAAAAGCACCCCTTAGTTTTGTCTGGGCCCTCGTAGGCTTGCGCAACGTGCCCGTAATTTAGACACCTGTAGCACCTCGGACCCTTGTCCCCAAGGATCTTCAGCCGACAGGTGATCCAAGAAGGGAGTCATTGCCTTTACCATATTCCCCCGCCCGTTTACACCTCCCGACTACCTTGTGAGAGGAGACGGCCGGGGCCGTTTAGGGGGTATACAGCTCATATATTACACATCTACTGATATATGACACAATAAATCATATAATATTATTTCTATTCAGTTAGTGATAATATTTCAAAAAATCTACCTTCTATAAACCTATGTTATATAAAGCTATTGTAATGTACTTAACGAGATAAGAGTTATCATCTAAAGTCTCAATTTCAAAAGTCTCAAAANCGAGATAAGAGTTATCATCTAAAGTCTCAATTTCTATGAGTTTTTTTGTATTAAAGTAAAAAAACATACAATATTTTTAATAATTAATAGATTTTGAAGTGTTTTTCATAACAAAGGAATATCTACTTTATTTAAAACAAAACCAAATTTGAGGTTTTAATGTGTAGCAAAAAATTAAAAAATTCAAGTTTTATAATTTTGCAAATAATTAAATAAATAATAATGTAACAATTTTCATAATAGATACGTAATCGACGAATTGTTTATTTGTACCTATCAAATACGCATCAAAGTTTTTAGCGATAGTTATTTTCATCACTCTCCTTTATCAATCAATACTTATTAAAAAAATGCTATAATCATGCTTCATTGAATCCTTACTAGACNACTGTCAGATATCATTTACTTGATCCAACTATGCCACGTCACCACTGTGCCGCGACCCCCCTGTGCTGGGTTTTTTACTTTAATTCTTATAAGAGGCAAATAAAAAAGTTATTCTAATATAGTCTAATAATGCGACAATTGATTAAAAATAAATTACTGTGAAATGATAGTTGAATAATATATTATAAGTATATAAGTTAAATCTAAGACACTGTATTATATTAAATAAAATAATACTTGTATGAATAAATTGATCCAATTGGGCCTCTCCAACCAATATTGATCAAACCATTGGTCTCTACATCGCATGGAAATAATTCTGCATAATTCGAAGATTCTGTTAGAGGATCTACAGAATTTTGCCAGGGTTTTACATATTCTCCACGGCTTCCCTTTTTTTTAATATTTAAAATTAAATCTTTACTAATAATAAAATTAAATATAAATTGCATTACTTTTGATAAAATTTTTTGGATAACTGGTTCTAGACTATTAAATAAAGAAGAATGGTCTACTTTTCCAGTAACTAAAAGTAACAGATTTTCAGGCCGGTAATATGCTTGATGATATTTACGAATCTATTAGATTGATATTATAAGAAATACTTTGTTATTATTATATTATGCACAGTTAATTAATATTTTATACTTTTTCAATAGTAATTGACTCTCGTAAATTTTTCATAGTTCCTCCATATATTGATTTGTAACCACATTTACCAGGATATACTTTTTTAAGAAACGATTGATATACAATTACTTCTGCATTATTTTCACATCCTTGCATTTCACAATAAACAACACCAGCATCTTTACCTTCTGAAGTTATATGATGAACTTCTGTGATAAAACCAGCATCCTAAAATATATAATATATTGATAACAATTTATAAATAGGTACCCATAAGTGTGTATATAAAAAAAATATTACAGTTAAAGTAGGATATAAAATATGATCAAGATAAATTGGAAGCAATGAAAGAAATCCTTCACTCCCGGCTGTGCTGACAGTATAACGAGTATGATCGACATCTATAAAATAAAATATTAATATGAGAATTTAGTTAACATTTGTAATATCTTTTTGATAAATTACGTGTATTTGCACAGATTCCTGAAGAAAGACATCGATTTGCCAGTAAAGGAATTACTCCTGTGTAAGGATAATCTTCCGAACCATTAAAAATTAAATGTTCTAATGTATGTGGAATACCATCATCATCATGAGTTTCTGTGGCTAAAAATTTCATAAAATAAACACTTATTGTGTCAAAATATATTTTGTTAAATTAATTTACCTAAAGTGAAATATCCATTAACAATAGGACCATCAATATCACCAAATACAATAGTAATCCCAGTACGTAAACATTGATACTTATAAACTGGTATAACATTTTCAAATAATGAATGATTGAGAAGACTATATTTATTAGCAAAATTTTTGTTTAATGTAGCATCATTAGATGACATCATAATATCGGTTATAAACCCAAAAATTAAAATATTTTTTAACATAACGAAAAAGTACGCACTCATTTTTGTATACGTGTATATTTTATATTTTTAATTTATATTTATTGAGCTTTCTATGTATTGCGATAGCATTTATAAGTTTTTGTTTTTGATAATGTTTAATCAGCTTGGCACAATTTCAATAAATTTTTTGGAAGGGCTTATTATTTGTAATGCCAACCCAAATCCATTCCCTAATTTTTTTTATATAGTCATGCATATAATTTTTTGAAATTTTGGAAGTAATCGATACCGATATTTTCAATTTGCCCCCATGTTGGTGGACTTCACTAAATATAAAATTACTGTAAACCTTTCCATAACAATTAAATATCGTATATTGCTGTTCAAATCTATGACCATAGTCAAATCTATAATTATCTATTAAAAGCCTATGTCAATAGTAATACGCCTAATTAGATAGTAATTTTGACTTAGAATGAATTATTAAGTATTATAGAATTATATATTACGATCTGATTGTATTAATTAATGTTTAAATCATACTAAACTTTTTAAATACTTAATTAATCATCAAAATAACTTTATTGAATCAATTACAGTTAATGTTATATTTATATTACAACTTAATGCCATAGAAATTTTGGAGAAGATAAAGATAAAAAAATTAACACATGCTATATAATTAATAAAGCGATTTCCCTAATTAATTAACAATTAGGAAAATCACTAATGAACAAAAGAAAAAAGTTATAATAAAAACACTCGCATAATAGTGAAAAACTATAACGATCTTATAAATATTTTGTAATAATTAGTCTTTTGATTTAACTTTGATATCTAAGTTAATCACATCGATTTCACAATATAATTAAGTAACAAATAGATTTGACACAGCCACGGCGTTGTCACACGTTGACACCCCGCGGTCGTATCAGCTCCTTCTCAGCCACCGCTCCACTGAAAACCGGACCGTTACACACACGCGTTATCGTCGTGGTGTAAAGTCCAACAAATGCCTAGCGTCGAATACCCCGCCGCAATATTACGTGCAGTCATCTTCGTGACACCGATCTTTTTGGTAACGCCGTCCGTTCGAAAATTCAACCGAACCGCCACGACAGTTGCGATCTTTTATACACTCAGAGAAAAACCTCGATCTATATAATAAATTCATCGTTCAATTTGATAAATATATCATTACTATTGAACCTAT